GAGCGAGCTGCCTTCGCTCCAGACAGGGATGTGTGGACTGCTGCTACTGCGAACACACCAGGAGTAAGCATTCGAGCTCACGGTGGTAAGTATCCCACCGTGAGCTCGAATGCTCACGGTGGGATACTTACCATGAAATGGGAGGTAATGAGCTTCTCAGGGAGATATCCCTCGTATCGGCCGCCTAAGTACTCCGATCCCCTCTGCTGGAAAGCATGTCCATAAAGGCAACCACAATAACGAATACAAATTTACATCAGCATGGGATGCCAAGGTAGCTAAGAAAGGGAACAAGATGAGACGTTGCGACCTCTTTCTGCTCGTCTGCACCCATCCCCACACTGTTAGGTTGGAAAGGAATTCTTGTCACTGTTGTGAATTTTTTTCTCTTTTATTTTCTGATTCGACATACAGTGGAAATCAGGTAACAATACGGGGGTGGCAAAAAAAGTCACTTTTCTTCCATTGACTTTCGAGGCGCTAAGTTACACTTTATTGAATTCTGATCGGACATTTTTACTACCATATTAAGAGCATATTAAATACTATCATGACACTCCGCCACAGCCTTCTGGACGAGCGCCATCGAGAGATTCTGGCACGCGACCGCGATGTGGTGCCTGAGATCAGCGAGATAGTCGATTTCTCCGCCACCGTAGACCACCCTATTGAACTCCGCCCGAACCGGGTAATTGAGGGGATTCAGGTCAGGTGACCTACTTGGATATTCCATCTTCTTTAGGTACTCAGCCCCCTTCCATTCCAAGTAGGCGAGAGTTTCTCCAATGCCCTTCGATTCCATGTGGTGATGATGTCCTAGACCGTAGCGACGTTGTCGGAGCTGCTCGATGTTGGAGGTCATCCAGATCGAGAGTACTGTCCAGGTAGCTATCCATGGGTGACTCCATACTAGAAGTTTCGCAGCTGTTTGGAGGTGACATGAATTCCAAAGGTCTTCTCCAGTCAGGCTGCGACTGGAGATGACTTCATATTTTGGTGTACATTTGTTATTAGCTGCACACCCTTAAGGATTGTATTCGATGGGAAGGTTCTTTCTTCGGACCATACCATCTCCTTGG